TTCATTATCTTCAAGACTTGATAGCTTGAAGAACTCCAAGAATCTTAGTCACTGGGTGTAATCAAGTGATTTACCTTAATAAAGGCAGAGGAACCACAGAAAAAAAAGACATAGGATTCATTTTTCTTAAAGACACTACACTAGAATAAAACTTACATATATTCTCCCAAAAAGACCAAAGTGCCTTCTGTTTGATATATAAAAGTAGGAAGTTAAGAACAAGGTAAAGGAGTAAGCAAAATTAAAGTTAAAAGCATCTTCAAATTATGCCTCGGAGGAGGAATCACTAAGTACTTTACAATACATACCACATTATTGATGATCATAATCCTCTTCGGGCACTTCTAAAACTGTTGTTTCAGTTAGTAAATCAAGTAGCTTGAACTACTCTTAGGCAATAATGTTGCGTAAATCGCCTACTCAGTCACATTTATTCATACAAAATAAACTTCTTCTTCATAAGGCGCTTGCATTTCGGACATACCATAGTTTCTTCAATCAGCTCCTTGTCATAGGGAACAACATCAATATGGCCACATGCCTCTGTCTGCAGAGGTGCTGCTGGGTCCCCAAGGGCAGTTCTAAGTGCTCCTATGAATCCCAACTTTCCTACATTTCCCCCCCACTCTCCAAACTGACTCAAGCATTCAATGATTTTCCTTCCTTGAGTCCTTACTATTTCTGCTGTCTGTCCCTTCCCAATTACTGCCCAGCCCTGCTCGCTGCCATTGATATCTAATAGGGCTGAGACCTCTTCCAGAACATGATCAGGACTAGTAATACTCTTCCCTAGTTGAAATTTCAATCTTCTGATGCTCTCTAATCGAAGCCAAAAGAATTTCATCTTTGTGAAGGAGAGTGTGTTTCTGTGGATCTCTTCATTGATAGTGGTCAAAATGTTGTGTACATGTTCGTCTGGATCATTCTTACCAACATATACCATCTTAAGCTGAACACCTGAACTTTTAATCTCCTTCAATTTATCAGTGCATTCTCTAATCCAGTCTATGTTGTTGCTCCCATAAACACAAACATTACTCCCTTCTTCAACCTGACATGAACAGAAAGGAATAAGTTTAACTAAAAACAAATAAAAGTTCAAAGGCAAATAACATCATGATCTATTTCTTACCCATTGAGCAAGAAAGGGATCGATTTCATCGATCAATAGCTGCATTGTCCATTTCTCTTCTTCCCAAAGCTCTTTTTGTCTAGAAATTGAAAAAGGGTATGCCTTTGGACCCCATATTAATACCATATCAATTGCATTCAAATTTGTAATCATCCCTTGAGAATCCAAGACTACCATGGTAGTTTTTTCCTCACATTTCCACTCTTTCTTGAAGAAGTTTACCACTGCAGAGTTGAGTGACCATGGTTTTCGTACCGAGTACCATGGCAAAGAGTTTGAAAGAAAGTTGAAGCTCTCCTCTTCTGAACCAGTCCAGCTACCAGAATATGAAATGGGAATCCATACAATTGCATAGATTCCTTCTAACTTCTTTCGATGAGGATGATCATGTATTTGGTGAACTAGCAAAAACAAATCCTCTAATGGGAGGATCTCCGGCCTTGAAACCAAAAGTATGACAACCTTGTTTTTCAGCTCAGAAATGCCTAACTGTACAATAAAACGCAATTCTATTCGCCAGATGAGTGAAGATTCCTTAAGAAGAATAAAGTATAATTTCTTCTTTCTTTGTTCTTTTGAAATAAATTAGTGTTTCCAAGTAGGGAAAAAGAAAAGAGATGAAAGAATGAAGAAGGAAAGAACAAGTACCTTTACTTGTGTAGAACAATCCTTGAGGGGCAAGCCTTCCTTAAGGGCAGATAACAAGTGAAGCACCTCTTGGTTGTCTTCATGGCTCTCCTTAAAAATGTTCACCAGCTTCTGATATAGCTTTGTCTCTGAGAATGATGAAAATTTTGGGTTTTGGATTAGTTTAGTATATCACTGTAAGACTTCTAAATTGTTGTAAATAATCTAGAACCAGACCTAATTCTTGATGAAGGGCATCCACATGCGGCTTAAGGTGATTCAATATGTTGCTCAGCCTGTACATCAAACTTGAGAGCTCCCATGCCGCGATTATTGCTTTTGAACCACTGCAGAAGTTATATATGCGTAAGTTTTATATGATCATATGTGAAAGAAAGATCAGAAATGTTTTGTAGGATTTTTGAAGAAAGAACATGCACTTGCTCAGCTTTCATGGCTTTCAAGTTCAGGACTTGAGAAGCGCATGCCAAGGCGCTTCTAGTGATCCAGTAAGCAGCAATGTATATTGAAGACTTTGTTATAGTTAGAGTTTCCTTATCCAGTTCTACATCTCTAATTGGCAGAGATTCAAACTTGATGATGCACTTTGTTGCGTCTACCATTGTCTTAACCAGCAATAATAAAGCCTTCATTTGGGGATTCAGTTTTGTAGTGTTGCTTGGTACTTGCTTAAGAATTGCAATGTTTTTTACTAAGGGGTTTTGCTGAGATAGCTGCATTGTGAGGCAGAATTCACCAAATCTTAATGCAAAAGCTGCGAGTACTAGTGCCACTTTCGCATCCCATTTATAATTTCCCAGCAAATCAAACATCTTCATTGTCCTTGTATGTAGATTTCCATCCCCAGAGTTGAAGAGCATCTGCAATGACAGGAGGAAAAATGAAAATGTGCACACATGCATTGGAGATTAAAAAAGAGAGATGGTTACCTCGTAAGAAATTTTGTAAATGGTGTGTTCTAGTGATTCCTCTGATCCAACTAGTTCAACGTTGCTGGCCCGATCAATGTGCTTATCGAAAACCTGAAACTGTAATCGAAATCTAAGATTGTTAACAAGTTGTTAACACAAAATAGATCATGCTAGAAAATCTAAAAGAACTGCAGTTAGGACGTAGCAAACAGAATTTAACTAGTACTTTTGATATGGTTGAATAAAACATGATATTCTCCACGGCATGAAGCAGTTGCTCAGAATCTAGACTCCGGCCATCTGGATCATGGCTGAGGAGGAGTTTATTTATCAAGATATCATCATCAACAGATTTCATGGCTCGTTGATGAACGCTTCCACTTTCAAATGAACTCATAGCTTGAGAAAATGGTGAATCAAAGGGAAACCAATGTACCAGAAAGACACTGCTAATGACATTGATGATAAAAATTGTGTTATATTATACACTCGGATGCTTCTGGTCTCTCTCTTTCTGTCATTTTCTTCTTTTTTTTATTTTCCCTTGTATCTGTGTCATGAGATGCTTTTTGCATGGGGAAATATGATGTTCTTCCCTTTTTTGAACTGTGGACACCACCAAAAGACGATGTTCTTACTTAAAGAATTATGCACTTTGTCTTGACCTTTAATTTTCCTGATGATTTTAGAGGGTAGGTAACTAGGCATACTAAAAGTAGTTAAAGATCCAGAAAAGAATGAAACTCTATAATAAAAAAAATAAAAAATATTTTATAAAATAAATTGTATCATATTATATAATATTTCTTATTAAATGAGGTTTAATTTTAATTTAATAAATTTTATTTTACAATTTAAAATAATTCAAATTATGAAATAGAGAACTTTTTTTTATATAATCTATATTATCCTTCTGTACTCTTTTTTTATTAACAGAATGCAATTTCTATAGTGTTTCATTTATTTGGATTTTTTTTTAAAAATAATCTTTTGAAAAGTAAGGATACGAACTTTAATTGAAATATGAATGCCCTGGTACCTTTTTATGCCATACAGTCTCAAATCACACATCGATACCCTTCTTCTTTAGGGAAACACATACCTTTATTTATTTATTTATTTTTTTTAACATTTTAGTCGTAAAACCAACTCGAACTGTTGTCCTTGATGAGAGGGATATGAACCTTATAAGAGTGATTAGAGTCATTTGGCACACAAGACCACGTTCGAAACACATACCTTTATAGAAGTGTTAAATAAACAAATTTAAATAAAATAGTCACTTTGAAGCTAAAAATTTTAGAAAGGAAAAAAAAAAAAAAACCTTAAAACTGTGTTTGGTTCACGTTCAACTTTTATAACTGAAATGATCTTTTCCAACTATTACGAGCACATGTGAAGGCCCAAAAAAAAAAGAAAAAAAGAAAAAAGAAAATGGGAAAACTGTTACAACCACATGCAACTGCTTCTTAACATAGATGTTGGGTATGATTTAAAGGGGTACTCACTCATTAAGCAAAACAAATTCAGGTATTCATCTTTCATTACAAAAAAACCGAAATAAAATCATCATCGAAGGTTTTTTTTTTTTTTTTTATCATAATAAATTAACCAATCATTTCAGGATCAGATATCATTAATTCTGAAACAAATGCTTTATTTTTGTATTTAAAAGTAAGTAAAATAAAAATCACTGAAATTCTTTTTATAATTAACTTATTTTAAGAGTTATTGGTAATAATTAATACCATAAGTTCTTTAAATCTTCTTGTCGGGGAGATGAGATAAGATTATAAGAATGAAGCAAACTTGAACCACAAGCTAGCAATTACTAGCACAAATATTTCTTGATGGGAATTGGGAACGAAATATTCATGAGTAGTAATACAGAGTGTGAAAATTTAGTACAAATGGTATGGTATAAGTTTTAGGTTAAATCCTTTTTTGATCCCTCAACTATTATACGGACCCCTAATTAAGTTTCTTAACTCAAAAAATCCCTGATTTGGTCCCTACTATTTATCATTTTTACCCCAATTTAGTCCTTCCGTTAAAAATCTCTCCACGTGTACTGTTAATTCACAGTAAGATGATGACATGTCAAAATTTTAACCCATATGGAAAACAACATGGCAAAAGCTAGTGACATGGCAATAAAAATTTTAAAAATTCTTTCTCCTTCCTCGTTCCCTTTCTCCTTCCTCTTCCTTTCCTGAACCCAGGCGATGGGTTCCTTCGAACCCAGGCGATGGGTTCCTTCGAACCCAGCTAGGCGTTCCTTGTTCCCTTTCTCCTTCCTCTTCCTTTCCTTCTTTATCAATCAATTCTTCATCATCATCATCAAACATCACCCACAAAAACACAGAAATTATTTATTTATTTTTTTGTTGAAGAACCTAGTGCCTGGGTTCGATCGAACCCAGCACCGAGTTTGAAGGAACCCA